AACCCTCCTGAACTGTCTCCTTCCACTTGCTGAAGAGCTCCTTCTGGAACCTCAGTGTGGGCTTAGGGCATCGAGAGGCACAACTGACATTATCTTCACAGCTCGCCAGCTGCCGGAGGAATGCCAAGAACAACATAAGCCTCTCTACATGGCCTCCTTGGAGCTCATGAGAGCTTTCAACTCTGTAAGCTGAGAAATGTTGTGGAGGATCCTTCTGAAGTATGGATGCCCACCAAAATTTGTCACCATTTTCTGCCTGCTCCATGACGGTATGCAAGTGATGGTTCTCAGTGATGGATCTATCACAGAACCCTTTGAGGTTAAAACAGGAACTAAGCAAGGCTGCATCATTGCTCCAACACTCTTCTCAATATTATTTGCTGCGATGCTTCATCTGACCACCAACAAGCTTCCAGCAAGAGTGCAGCTAAACTACTGAATAGATGGTAAGCTGTTTAACGTCAGCAGACTCCAAGCCAAAACCAAGACTACCCCAGCCTCAGTCATTGTGCTCCAGTACACTGATGGTGCTGTAGTGTGTACTCACTCGGAAGCAGACCTTCAGGTAATCACTGACATCTTACTGAGGCATACAAGGAAATGGGACTGATGCCTAGAATTCAGAAGTCTAAGATCCTCCACCAACAATCTCCTAATGAATAGCTCTCAGTTCCAGTAATACATATCCACAGTGAGACTCTGGAGTACACTGCCTATTTCGCATATCTCGGAAGCCATCTCTTGCAGAAGGCTGACATCAATGAAGAAATCTAACATTGTCTCAAATGTGCAAGTGCAGCCTTTGGATGCCTGAAGAAACCGGTGTTCAAAGATCACAACATCAGATCCAAAATCAAGCTCCTAGTTTATCAAGCAGCCATGATCCCCAACTTGCTATACAGAGCTGAGTTGTAGACAACATACAGGAAACATCTAAAGTTGCTGAAGTACCATCAACGCTGCATGTGGAAGATCCTCTGAATCCAGTGGGAAGGCAGACACACCAACATTAGTGTCCTCCTGCAAGCAAAAATCACAAGTATTGAGGCAGTGATTATCTGACATCAACTTTGTTGGACCGGCCATGTAATCCGGATGTCTGACTCCAGATTCCTGAAGCAAGTTTTATTCTTCCAACTCAGCCAAGGCGTACGCTCTAGAGGAGGGCAGAGAAAGAGCTTCAGAGGTGTCCTCAAGGTCGACTTAAAAAAAAAAATGCAACATTGATTTAAAAAAAAAAAAAAAAAATGCAACATCGATGTCAACTCATGGGAAACAGTCGCCCAGGACCACCCCAAACAGAGGAAGAATCTGCTGCAGGGATCTTAGTACTTTGAAACCTTACAACAAAAATAGGAGATGGAAGAGCGGGAGTGGCAGAAACAGCGTGTCACAGACCAAATCAAGAATCCAGTACCATCTACCCCACATGGAAACACATATCCAAACTTTAGTAGAGTTTGTTAATTCCAGATAGGCCTCATCAGCCATCTTTGGATGCACACACAAAATAATCATGGAAGACGATCATCCTTGAGCGAGAGGGATTGCTGAAGAGAAGATGATGACTTCCCATTTCCTCAATATTGCAGCTGTGTGAAATCGGGTGTTACATGCTGCTTTCCTCTCTCCCTCCATTACTGCCTTGCATATCATGCTTACATTTTGCAAAGATGAACAATCCCAAGTCCAGCACCCCCCCATTCTCCCCATCTCTCTTGCTATTTACAGTTCAGCTTTAGCCAACATTTCTCTTTTTGCATTCCAGAAGATCACACATTTTCCTCCGTACTTTTGCTATCTGCTGCCACGTCAGTGGGAATACAATTCCTGTATGCAGAATAATCAGCAGTAGCATAGCCTTAAACACTACCACTTTTCCAACAAAGGACAGTGTCCTTCCGGACCATAACCGAAGTATTTGCTGTAGCCTTGCTGTCACCTTTTCCCATGCTGTATTACCTTTTCCTTCAGTGTCCATTGGGATCCCTAGCACTCTGATTTCTCTCTCTCTCTCAATTGATGGGCCTAGCTTCTGCACATCCCTCTGGTTTCCCCACTCCTATTATGGTGCTTTTTGATCTATTTAGTTTAGCCCTTGTCACGTCTCCATACTCTGATGTATATTTTAGCACCCTTTCCATTGAACATCTGTCTCTAACTACTACATTTATATCATCCATGTATAGCACGCATTTTAACTCACCCCTCCCAGTATCTTTACTTCACTTATGACCTTGTATTTTTTAATTCTTTGTGTTAACAGTTCCATGCTTCACACAAACAGTAGTGGCAATAGGGGCACCCTTATCAGACCTCTGTATGGATTTTAAAGCCCCCACATAAGTGCTCATTAATTTGGATGTGACTCTGCTTCTTTGTACAATAACTTTATCTGACATATAAATTTCTCTGGGAACCCCATTTTTCTTATCACCTCGAATATGTAATCATGATCTACTCTGTCATATGCTTTTTCTAAATCTAGGTTTGCTATAACTGCTTGTTTTCCTCTTTTGGATGTGGCACAGTGTATGTCTGCTCACTCTGATTGTTTCGGAGAGCCTTCGACCTAGTGCTGTGGATACTGGGTCTTCGTATATTATCTTCTTGAGGTTTTTCCTCATCCTCAAAGTCAGTGTCTTGGCCATTAACTTATAGTCCATATTAAGGAGTGTAATTAGTCCCCAGTATTTTAGCAGTTTCTTCTCCCCTTTCTTAAAGAGCAAAATCACAACACCTCGTAAAATCTTTCCCTGCCTCCTCTGTTTTCACTATTTCTTCAAAGACTTCCACTATACCCCCCCCACCTATGCCCAAAACTTCTTGTAAAATTCCATAGGCAGTCCATCTGAGGATGATTTCCCCCTTTTCTGAAGTTTTTTAAACCTCCACTTCCTTTAAACTCTTTTCTTCCACCTTCTTTGCTCCTTCCTTCTCTGCTTTCTCTTTAATCTCTTCCAAGAAATCCTTCATCTTCTTCCTGTCTCTTTCTTTCTTCTGGTGTAGCTCTTTTCAAAATCTTCTTGTCACCTCCAACACTACCTCCTTCTTTTCCACTCATGTACCACCTTCTTCCAGCACTGCTTTAAGCTCTCCTTTTGCCACCTTCATTCTGACCGAAATGTGTTGGGATCGCTATTTGTTTTCTTGCTCCCACAGTGCTTGTGGTAAGAACATTTTCTCTCTTATCTTTCTTTTAAACCAGATTTGTAACTCTTGTCTTGTTTCTTCTGTCTTGTCTTGTACCTGCCTTCTTTCTGTGGCTTCCGTTAGCAGCTCCTGCATCTTTCTTTGCAACTCTCTTAGCTCTTTTCTTTTTTTCCCCATGCACTTTTGGCCTTCCTTCCTGAAGACTTCTCCCATCCTCTGATTCACCATCATCCACCAGTCTCACCCACAGAGCTATTTCCCCGCAGCTTGAAGGGGGTGGGTTCTGTTGCTGAGATCTGGAATATAGATTCCTATTGGGGATCCACGTTGCTATGGAGGTGAGGGGGTGTGATTGATGGCTGAGTTTAAACTGGTTCTAGTCATTGAGGCTCCTTGTGGTTCAGACCTGGCGTATGAGAAGCTGTGTGGTCCAGATCCAGTTTGGGGGGCCAGGCAAGTCTGATGCCCCTGATTTAATGTAATTACCAGGTTGCTTTGAAACGCTAGAGGTATCCTGGCCAGAAGCTGTGCTATGCCAGTATGTTATCTGTGACCACTAATACAATGGTTCCTAAACTATCGTGTCCTCCATACTGAGTATGGATTTTTCCTTCATTTGTTAATGACAGACAAAAAAGTAGCATTCTGGCAATGTTTCTTATTGCCTGCAATTAAGGTAGTGTTCCTTTTCTTTTTCTTTTCTTCTTTTATTTTAGCCAATACCTTCATGCAATCACAGCCAACACTTCTTGTGGGGAGCAGGGCCACCTCATCAAGTTGGAATGGGTTCTGCTGGCTGTTAGGGTATTTTAATGCTCCAGTGGGTTCTATGGACAAGAATGAAAAACGTATTTGAATGTAGATCTTATTTATGATGACATTAAAGCCAAACTGGTTCAGCTACAGTGCCCTTCCTTTGAGAGTGTCCAGCCTCATGTTACCTGGATCAATGGATGAAAGCTAGCAGGCAGCATCTGTGTCTTCTGTTGGAAAGAATTGTCCACGTCTCTCAGGTGGTTTATCTACCAATATTATTTTAAAAAGCTGTGGCTAGGCCTCTGCTAGGCAAGAGTATCTTAGCTGACTACCATCTATATCCTTCAGGCAAAGAGAACGTGTATAAGGGGCAGGTCAGCTCCAACAAACTTGAAATGCATTTTGACTGACTTATGGCTTGGAAATCACAGTAGGTTAACAGATACAGGCAGTAGAGGGATTTTTAGTGTTAAGAAAGTCAGTCATTTGGGTGGGACAGGAAAACATTTGCTCTGAAAAAAAATGATATTTGTGGAGACGAGACTTGTTTTGCAGTTTTGTGTATTGTCCCTGTGTGTGCTTCCAAGATGCCTGATCCCTACGCAGAAGCACAGCTGTCTGTCTTGGTGCTACTGGATAAGGGATCTGCTTAAGGATGTTGCTTTGGACCTTCCTAATTTCATCTGAGAAAGACCTAGGCATTCTTGGACTTTCCATCAGCTTAGTTCCTCTGTATGAAAGGACTTAAGTCATAAGTCAATTGCCTTACTTAACCTTGAGACTCCGATTAAAGTCCATTGTCTCATAACAGCCTAGGCAAACCATAAGCCATCAAGCTGTTTTAAAGCAGTTTCAGTGCACACATGATGAGTTCCAAACCTTTGAAGTTGCAGCAGAAATTGATACATTGCTTTACATTCTGAATATGTCTTTTCCTTTGCCATTTTTTTACAATCTAACATTGTCTAAAAATAGTTGTGGAGAACAGAAATTTTGTGACAAGTATTTATTTTAATGATGCATGTATGTTTCATCCATTTCAAATAATGTTACTAAAATCAAGTGTCCTCTCCCCTGCCTTGTATTTTCAGAGTTAATATACAAGGAAGTCATGGACTTGGAGGAAAGAACCAAGAATGGTGTTATACGTGGACAGCCAGCCCCTTTAGGTTGGTTACAATAAAAGCACTGTACAAAGCTACCCCATTTGTAAGCTAGAAAGGAACATCATTGACTGGGGCATCCAGGAGTAATAGATTGGTGGTACATGTCCAAGCACCACTTCAAAATTTCAAGAACACATTTGTAGGAGCTGCTTTATGGTTAATTCCCTTCATGGGGTAATACTTGGCACTGGTATAGTGGTTTGGTACCATAAAACAGGGCCTGGCAACCTGTTTCAAGCCCCAGGCCAGAACAAACTGGGTCTGGTCTGGTGTGGGCCAGATGGCTTGAGCAGTGGGGCAAGTGCTGGTGGCGGGGTGAGTGGTGTCTGGGGACTGTGGGGATTAATGCTGCCATTGTTTGCTCCTCTGGCTCTGACACGTGTCCTCAGTGGGGCTCTGTATGCTAGAATTGGGCAGTGGGTCCCACCCCCAAATTTTGTGACCTTCCAGGACAGGGACAGGCAAAGTCTGGCCAATGGGCAGGCTACATTTTCCAGGAGCCCTGGCCCAGTCACTGAGGCTGGTTTCCATGGAGACCTCAGGAGGGGTGGGGCTGTGACAGTGTGAGGTTGGGGTTTCCATAGAGACCCACGCAAGCAGCGCTGGCAGGGCATGCAGCTGAGCAGGGTGCTGCACTGGGGCTGGGATTTTGTGGCAGTGGCAGTGTGGTCCAGAGCTAGGGCAGAGCCAGGATCTGCTGCTTGCATGCCCCTGCCTGGGGCATGCGGGCAGTAGGGCAGAGCTGTGATCTGCTGCCTACACACCCCTGTCCAGGGCATGCAGGCAGCAGATTGAGGCTTTGCCCCAGGTCTGGTCCTCACTGTCACTGCTACAAAATCCCAGCTCCGGAGCAGCTCCCAGGCTGGCCACACACCCTGCCAATGCTGTTCGGGCAGGACTCCATGAAAATCCTGGCCCCACACTGTCACTGCCTCACTCTGCCTGGGGTCTTCATGGAAACTGGCTGCAATGACATGGGCAGGGGTTGCTGGGAAACGGAGTCCACCCCAGGCTGGATCCACCATTTTGCCCACCCCTGTTTTAGGAGTTCTGTGGGTTGAATGATATGGCTCTGTTGGCTGGATCTTTGCCACCTCTGCTTTAAAGTATTAGTTTAATAGTTGATCAAGCTGAAAACCTAGCAGTTCAATGTTTATTCACAGATAAACAAAATGGAGCTTGGCATTTCACTATGAGAAAGTAGCTTTCAAGGATTGGTCTTCCATTTGGCATAACTCATCCAAATTATGCTTCCTTTTTTAATTTGTCTTTGAAATTTTCGTTGCAACTAAACTGCCTTCCACCATAAAAGTATCCTTTGATGCTTGCAAATGATGTCTCCTAAGTATTAGAATCAAATATCTAACTTACATTGTTTACCTGAATAACTAGATTATAAATGAGAAGGAAAGTGCCGAAGACCTTCAGAATCAATCATTTGTTTTGCATTAAATGTGGCTGAACTGAGCCATTACAGCACACTGTTTCCGTAGCCAGTGAAACAAGTGTGGTATCAAATAAGCACTGTTGGCTCTCCATTAGGTCTTGAGCAGCTCAGGGTTTGGGAATGTACCAGGAGTCTTGACTTAAATGCATGTGTTTAAGGGTGACTGGATTTTCAGAAATAATGAGCACCATCCTCCCTCAAGAGGAGCTGCTGGATGTTCACCACTTCTGAATATGCCACTTCTTTATATGCCTAAATATGTAGATATAATCCTAACTTCAGGCCTCTGCTGTTTTTCAGGCCCCCTCTATACATGCAGATAAAGGCGCGATGGGATCTAATGCATGATCCATGCCATGCATGCATGGCAGGAGGCATGATTGTGGGATCAAGCATTAGATCTCATTGCAGCTGATTCCATGCACCCCCAAGCCTTGGATATTGCGGCAGCTGTGATCCACCAGGTTCAGGTGTTTGATACATGCCTGAGCCTTGGGCCTCACAGCAGCCACAGCTTCCCAGGCCTGGTGGTTTCACACTGGGCATGGTGTACCCCTGTGGCTGGGAGCCCCTCCAGCTAATGCAACTTTAAATCTTAACAGCAACCAGCTATAAAGTTAATATATATTTTGAGGTCTAACTTTATAGGTGATTGGAGCTTGTTATGGTGTGATAGCTACTTTTCACATGTAGGTGGTCTTAAGGTAATTGTGCAGTTAACCAGTTAACTGTGCAGTACCTGTAACATGTAGAGGGAGCCTTAAATTCTTAGCTCTGTGTAGTGTTACATGCAAGGGTATCCCTTTACTCATTGACAGTGATTCCTAAACTCAGGGCTATGATCCCACAAAAGTTCATGTGAGAGTTTGAACATGCAAGTGGGGATCATAGGCCCAAATATGGGGCTGCCAATGTCTCCCTCCCAAGCTTAGAATGAGCCAGACTTGGGCATTTGGCACTCAGCTGTCAGGAAGTTACATTGTTACATTAACATAAAAAAGTATGGGAATATGGCTTCTAGCTTGCAGTGTAATTCCACTAACTTAAAAATCTACATATCTCATGTGATAAGGGATTGTGCCAAGTCTCTTAGGACAGGGACGGGCAACATACAGTCCACAGAGACACTAAATCTGGCCTGCGGAGCGCCTGTGCTAGAGCTGACCAGTGAGGAACTGTGCTGGGGCCAGGCAGCTGGAAGCTGTGCCTGTGTTGCTGCTGCTTCTCCCCATCCCCTGCTTCTGGCTGCAGCTTAGCTACAGCTTTCAGCCTGTGGGGAACTGTGCTGGACTGGGCAGCACCTAGTAGTGCCCATGCTGCAGCTAAGAGGGTGGAGGGTAGGAGGCAAGGAGAAGCAGCTGCCAGATTCCTGGCCCCAACACAGGTATGGGCAAACCCTTTTTGCTGCTGAGGTGCTATTGAAGACATCCAGCCCACACTGAACTGGAATCAGGTTGTTTCTGCCCATGGGTTGAAAAGGTTGCTGGGCCCTGTCTTAGGAACTTGTTGATCAGCTAGAAAAAATAATGGCCACTAGAGGGAGACAAACTAATGCAAGTACTGAACCATGCAACTGTATCTGCAACTGATTTGCTGTTTTGTTTCTCATAGCACAGGTGCAGCAATGATCAATGGCTCTCAGCATCCATCTTCATCATCATCTGTCAATGATGTGTCTTCAATGTCAACAGATCCAACATTGGCCTCTGATACAGACAGCAGTCTAGAAACATCAGCTGGACCTCTGGGTTGCTGTAGATGACTACTTGGGGTTTTTTTGTGGGGAGGGATGAGAGAGGGAACCTCTTAGTCATTGACAGGACACCTTTAAAAATCAGTGGTATTATTTTGAGTGTTTTTAAAAAAATATTGTAGGATTCATTTGAAAGTGCTGTAATTTTAAACTAAGTTGTGTTAAAAGCAGCCGCACGATGTATTTTTTGCTGTAAGTAACTCTGTAAAATATTAAATCCGATAATTTTTATCATTTAAAAAATCTGCATATTTGCTTTACTATTATGCTGCTGCTGATTTTTTTTTTTTTTTTTTT